TTTTGCACCTACACGCCAATTGTATCTCGCATTGACTATCATTGCTCAAAAATTTAAATTTAAAAAAAAAATTATTAACTTTTTTTTAATTAATTAAGTGTTTATTTAAATTTATTTAAAATTCTCTATAGTCATACTTCACAGCAAGAAACTTTTTGTATTTTTACACTATCATCCTTAGGATTATTTCCTTTCTCTTCTTGTCTAATTGCAGTAATAATTTCTTTTTTGGTTAAAGTATATACGATTTGTTATTTATTTGGATAATCGAGGAAGATATTAATATCCATTTGATTAGTGTAGTAAAGATGTCGAATCTGATCCCTTAATTCTGCAATAACTCTTTTATTCTCCTTATCCACTTTATTTGTAACTTGCAATTCATCGACACTGGGGGTCCTAATTTTGTAATTCTTAAAACCATTGGTAATTATTTGTGGTTTCATATCAATTGACCATGCATCAACTGTATTTACAGTTCCATCAATGACATTTATCTTTGTTGGTTCTAAAACACGATCTTCTATTCATTTAAAAAATAGGCAATTGAAGGCTGAATTGAAATCATAATACTACTAAAATATGAATTGAAATCCTAATACTATACTACTAAAACATGAATTATAAAATAAGAAATTAAAACAATAATTTTTGTAACTACACCTCAATTAAGTTATAACCTCCTCATAGTAATAAAATTAGTTAGTCTCACCATTATANAATAACGTAAATTTTCTGAATGTTTTTGAATTAAAAGTGATTAAAATATTACATATTTGTCAAAATACTTCAAACCTGTGAAATTATTTTTCTGCCCTCACATAAAGTTAGCTTTTACACCAACTAATAGTCTACTAGTACTTTTCTGAATGTTTTGTAACTTTTGTAGTTTACTAAATTTTCGAAAACAAATTAATGTTAGTTTGAGATTGTTGGAACTTTAAACCAAATCACTTTTTATGTAACTTTGAAAATAATCAGTTTTAAAATTGATTTAGAGTGTGTTGGGTAAACTATAACTTTAGGGTTTGCTTGAAAGTTTTTTTTTCACTGGTTTTAGGGGGTTTTTAATTAGACTGGGTTTGAGGTGTTTAAAAACCATTACTTGCCAGATTTTTAATGGACTGGTTTTGACTGGTTTAAAAACCCCTCAAAACCAGTGTAGTGTATTTTTGAGGGGTTTATAAAACACCCCAAATCGGGGTGTTTTGACTGGTTTAAAAATTTTATCCCAAAAAAAACACTTTCCCACTAATAATCACCCAAAGCTCTTGCTGTTGTTGATTTCTCTCTCTTACGAAGTGAGTGAATGGTTTTAATTTATGATATTGGCTTATATTTGTGAGTTTATTTGCTTTATTTTCTTTTTTAATGATAGTCAAGAAGCGACGTCAACTTAAAATTAGGCATTTTGGTTTCTTGGTTTCTGATAGTTCGAACAGAGTTGCTATTTGCAATCGCTAATTCACAAATGAGTAAGTTTCGTTTTCTTGTCTTCTTTATTTGTTTATTTCTATATAATTAGTTTATTGTATTAGATTCTCCTCACTTTCAGCATTTTAAGGGGTTGTATTATAGACGAAGCTTTGTTGATTGTTTGCCATTTTCATTTGTTAATCTTGTTTGCGGTGAATTATAATCGTGAAGATTTTATGATTGTGCATTCTCAAATTTTTCCTTTTTATTGTAAATTTGTAACTGATTGTGAAGGATGAATGGTGTTTTGAACATTTTGTTCCCAGAGTTTTTTGACATCCTAAAAAAAAGTCATAGAGCCTCTTCGTTTGATTATTCCTTCTCCAGCTCCTTCAATTCTCTCAACAAGGCTTGTTTCTCTCTTTCTCTCTCATTTTTTGTTTGGGTTTACCATGCCATGCTTAAATGAGGTGTTGCGTAGATAGAGAAATCATTGGCAATTTAATTAAACAATGAGGTCCTGTTTTTGTTTCAACACAAATAGAATATGGTGTACTATAGAAAACTGCTACTGAGTAAAATATTTATAGGAAGCCCAACACCCTGAAATATATATATATATATGAGTGGTAGCTCACGAGCTGCTCATACATGTTTGGTTGTGTTTATCAAAGTTAATTAAGCAAAAGAGAGAGTGTTTTAACTTTGTTTGGTTGTGTTTGTGTGAAGAAAGCAAAAGATAGACAACATTGTAATTTACTGATTTGTACTTCTCTTCATTTAAATGTTTAAGTTGGGGTATTTTTATGGGCATCTATGTAAATTTATCATTTCAAAAAACTGTCAGAACCGGTAGAAAATAAACTCCCAAGTACAGGTTGAGTGTTTTAAAAACTGCTACTAAAAACCCCTCAAAACCGCTACAGTGGTTTACCCTCAAAATCGTTACAATGGTCTACCCTCATAACCGCTACTATAAAACTCTCAAGCAGACCCTTAAGGATGTTTTGATTTTTATAAATTATAAAAATGTATTTGATAGATTTAATTTTAAGATTGTTATTGTATATGTAATGACCAAAAAAGACATATTTTATTTCTTAAATATTTGTATAGTTATTAATTTTTTTTTTATAATTATTTAATAAATACTAAAAAAATGCACTAAAATAAATTCTCATTTAATAAGAACTAAACCAAGAAATTCAAAACAAAATTTCAGCTGGTGGTGCAAAATGCCGATAGAAGTTAAGTACCAATCAATGGTGGCCAATTAGAGACACAACTAATCCTATCACGTTCGACATAAGATAATAGTCAAATTTTGGTAGAATCATTGGGTTCCCACACAGATTTTGATTGCAGAAGTGGCAAAAGATGCGGTTGCCTATGCAACCAATCAAAGCATCAACAATTTGGGGATTGCTATGCCAATCTGATACGATAATTTGCACCTACACAGCCAATTGTATCTCGCATTGACTACATTGCTCAAAAATTTAAATTTAAAAAAAAAATTATTAACTTTTTTAATTAATTTTAAGTGTTTATTTAAATTATTTAAAATTTCTATAGTATACTTACAGCAAGAAACTTTTTGATTTTTACAACTATCATCCTTAGGATTATTTCCTTTTCTTCTTGTCTAATCTGGCGTAATAATTTCTTTTTGGTTTTTTTTATATTTTATAATATACATATAATTATTACTATGTGGGGGAAACTTTCCTTAAGATGAGAATTAGAAAAATTATAATTTATTACAATGTAGAGTTTATTCTTATTTATAACTATTCTCCTTATCCACTTCATTTATAACTTGCAATTCATCGACACTGGGGGTCATAATTTTGTAGTTCTTAGAACCATTGGTAATTGTCTGTGACTTCATATCAATTGACTATGCATCAACTGTATTTACAGTTTCATCAATGACACTTATCTTTGTTGGTTCCAAGACACTATCCATTTCAAAAATTGGCAATTGAAGTGCCGAATTGAAATCCTAATACTACTAAAATATGAATTGAAATCCTAATGCTATACTACTAAAACATGAATTATAAAATAAGAAATTAAAATAATAATTTTTATAACTATATCTCAATTAAGTTATGATCTCATTATAGTAATAAAATTAGTTAGTCATATCATTATGATCATGAAGTGATTTTATTATATATATTAAACGAATGATGGAGAATTGCCGAATTGACAACAAAAAAGGAACATCTGATCGAAAGTTACTAACGTGGAGCTAATCTCGAACAGTAAATTGATACAAACCCATAACCAATTTGATATAAAGAAAAGTCATTGAAGTGATTTTGACCCAACCAAATTTCTATTTTTTTTTCTTTTTGAAAAAAAAAAAAAAAAAAAAAGATCATTGCTTAGATTTTATTTTTATCTTATTTATGGTCAAATTAATTCCAGTCTATCTGTTCATTATCTTCAATACAATTGTCACGTGGTCTTGATAAAAGAGTTAGGTGAGTTGCACCATACTTGTTCCATTTTCTTGTAATTTATTTAGACCTTATCAAAAACTTATTAAAAACTTTCCTTTTCCTATAATTGTTAGAAATCTAATATTTAGAAAATAATAATAATAATAATAATAATAATAACTCAAGGGTGAACTTTAAATAAATTTTTGTCATCTTCTACCTCTTTAAAGCAGAAATTATGTCATCTTTTAGACCTTTGAAGAGCACATGATACATCTTCACAATTTATTATTAAACTGCCAAAATTAGTTACAAGAAGACCATTAATTTTTTACTTTTCAGTTTTCTCCCTCATAGTTATCAAACAAATGGAAACTCTTCATAGTCAAACAAACATATATCCAATTTAGATGATTTGTTCTACATTTTGTATATTATCCCCGAGTAACCCAAATTATAACTTTCAGTAATCAAACTTCCTTTTTCTTGAAATTTGCCTCGGAAGCACGTGCTAAAAGATTAGAAATTAACAAGTAATTAATTTTAATTTCTATTTATGGAAGTATTTTTTTTTTTTTTAGTAATTTGCTTCCATTTCTTTAAATGGTAAGATAACTTGTTTTACTATTTTAATATTCTTTAACATTAATTCTAACAAACTATTATAAATTATGTAAATGTACAACATTAGCTACCAAATTTTACACCATTTGATTATTTCTTTTATGTTATTTCATAACAACATTTTACATACAAATTATAAATATAATTGAGTTTATATCATTTATTTATTTTAGAGTAATGTTATGCGTACAAATTATGTATACAAGGTTCGAAATATTGGACAATACTCCACTTATAATTCAACCTTATAATTTTCTTTCACAACTTCGACATAATAGTTTATAATTAATCAACTTGCAATAGATCTTGCTTACTAAATTATGAACTGACTAATTGCAAGCTACCGAGTTGTGAGAGAGAATTTGTAAAATTAGATTGTAAGTAAATCTTTATTGCGAAAGATTCCTTTATGAATTGCAAGTTACCAAAATGCCCAGACCCCAAGGATATGCCCTCTATAAAACGCATAGACCAATACGCTCAAAGTTCTCAACCTATCATTACATTTTAGCCCCAATCAATTCTCCTCCATTGCGTCTCCATATGGACAATTCAGTAGCTTCTGTCGCCACTCAAAATGGCCGTGAAGACACCAACAAATTCTTCACCGCCCATCACAAACCCTCCAAGGGTGGCTGGGCTGCCGCCATTTTTATCATCTGTAAGAAACAAACACCCCATCTTTAATTATCTTTTAATTCACCTCTTAAATTCATATTCTTCGTTTATATCGATCTATGTTTTTCAACGTTTTGCATGCAGTCGTCGAGATGGCTGAGCGCTTCGCCTTCTATGGGTTGGGAGGAAATCTCATGAATTACCTCACAAATGTTCGCGGTGAACCAAATGCCACTGCCGCAAAGAATGTCAATACTTGGTCTGGAGTCTCCGCCCTCTTACCTTTGTTTGGCGCCTTCATCGCCGACTCTTACCTTGGTCGCTTCAAGACCATCCTTTTCTCTTCTGTTATCTATTTCATGGCGAGTTCGCGATAATCAGCTCTTTTCATTTCAACAGTTTTTCACTATATGGCTCTTTGAAGAAGTGAAACAAAAGATTTACTGTGCATTTTTTTTTTTTTTTTTTGGTTTGGTACAGGGGATGATTTTATTGGTCTTATCAGTCTCCGTAATTGATGACCATAAATCTGTGTTTTTCATAGCGCTTTACATACTAGCAATTGCTGAAGGTGGGCACAAGCCTTGCGTGCAAACCTTCGCTGCCGATCAGTTTGATGACAACAACCCGGAAGAGAGAGCCGCCAAAAGCTCTTTCTTCAACTGGTGGTTCTTAGGGATAGTCACCGGTGCCTCTGCTGCAATAGTGGTCATCATTTACATCCAGGTGATAATATTTTACAATCTTAACATCTTTTCTTTCTTGATGGGTTTATTTTATATTTCCCATTTTGAGATTGTTTAAAATTAAACTCATCGCCTTTGTTCAGAAAAATGAAATAAACTTCTCTCTTGATTTAAGCTTTTATTGAAATTGACAAATCTCTTAAAAGTTCAAGAAAACTCTGATCAAACGAGAAAAAATATTCTGTTCACGTTTTATATTTTAAAACATGAGATATATATATGTGACACTTGTAACATCAAACGTTACAATGATAATAAATATTGTATTAGATATTATGAGTCTTGTGCTAGATGTTAATTACTTTCTTTTGAGGTTCTTACTAAATACCAAAAAAAATCCAATTAAAAGTTCAAGAAAACTCCGACCAAAACGAGGAAATTTATTCTATTTACGTTTTATATTTTAAAACATGAGATATCTATGATACTTGTAACATCAAAAGTTACAGTGGTAATGAATCTTGTGTTAGATATTATAATTATGAGTCTTGTGCTAGATGTTACTTTTTTTTTTGTGGGTCTTACCAAAAAATCCAAACAAACAAAAGTTTCTAGTGTTGATTATTGTGCATTACACTTCAACTTAAAAATTGAGAGAGTTCACATGTTTTATGATGCAGGAAAATGTTGGGTGGGCAGCAGGGTTTGGAGTATTGGCAGGGATATTGGCAATGGCATTAATATTGTTCTTGGTTGGATTTAAGAAGTACAGGATCGATAAGAAGAGGACGGAGGGGAGCCCGTTTACCAAGGTGGTCCAGGTGATTGTCGCAGCGGCACGGAAGTGGCGACTGAGTGAGACGCGTGGTGGCCGTGGTGTTTGCTATGAAGATAATGATGGAAAGAAGTTGAGACAATCCAGAGGAAGAAATATTGAACGTACTAATCAACTTAGGTATGTAAATGTAGTGTGTCAATATCAAATCATCTTGGAGCTAGTCAACTATTTATTTTATTTATTTATTCATAAATTCAAATCAGATCGTTTTAAACTTTGATTTGAGGGGGATTTGAAATGAGATATAACATCTATTATTAAAATTAAATTGAAAAAGGAGTCAACTCTTTCTAGAGTTAGTGACTATTGGTGCGTCATGTCAATATGGTGACTAAATTATTGTGTGAACACAAAGACTTTGAAGGGTTTTTGGCTACCATACATTGAGAAAAATCCACAGGAGTTAAATGCTTTGCTAAGGAATGAGTTTCTCTTCTTTTTCTCATAAAGCATCAATGCTTTTAAGACTTGAAATCATGATTCTATATCTATACATTCAGCTTTTTTCAAATATAATTTAATTTTTGGACAATATGGGATAATGCCTTAGGGCCACATACTTTTTCGATCACATGACAAACTGATCCCTGTCTGCAAATTTTTTCTACACAAAAACTTCATGAAGGAGATTATGTCTTGTAAATATTTTGTTCAATTCATGAAAAATTTCCTCATTTTCAGCCTCGAGACGGTCTAATACCTATTTCATCACTACATTTTTCTTCAATTTTTATTAATCGTCAACAATTCATACTACTAGGTACAAAATTACCCAAAAAAACACATTCTCATTTAACTGTATTAATTTAAAGATTAATAGAAGACGGTTTTTAAATTTTTAATAATTAAGTTTAAGGCGCTTTTTTATTTTTTATTTTTTTATTGATAAAGATTAATTTTTCTTAACTGGTGTTCACCATTTCAATCTCAATAAAGCAGATTTTTGGAAAAGGCAATGATCATTGACGATGTCGACTGCTTGAGCAAACAAAGGAATCCATGGAGGCTATGCTCACAAAACCAAGTGGAACAAGTAAAATTGGTAATTCGCCTCATCCCCATATGGATAAGTTGCATAATGTTCTTTGCTGTCCAACAACAAATCCATACATTTGTGACAAAGCAAGGTGGCACAGTAAATAGATCAATTGGATCTCACCTTCAAATCCCCCCAGCTGCTCTTCAAAGCCTCGTAGGCATCGCCATCCTCGTCACCATCCCCATTTACGATCGAATTTTCGTTCCTCTAGCCTGGAAATTCACTGGACTTCCCTCCGGAATAACCATGCTACAAAGAATTGGCGTAGGCTTGTTTTTATCCATACTTAACATGAGTGTAGCAGCAATTGTAGAGGTCAAAAGACTCAACATTGCAAGAGAAAATGGCCTCATGGACTCACCCAAAGCAACATTGCCAATGAGTCTTTGGTGGCTAGTCCCTCAATATATGATTTGTGGAATCTCCGATGCCTTCGCCACCGTCGGATTGCAAGAATTGTTCTATGATCAAATGCCGGAAGAAATGAGAAGCATGGGGGCTGCAGCTTGTATTTCTATAGTTGGAGTTGGGAACTTTATTAACACGGCTATCATATCAATTGTTCAGGATATAAGTTCAAGAAATGGTGGACATAAATGGATTGGTAACAATCTTAATCGGTCACATCTTGATTATTTTTATTGGACAATGGCAGGGTTGAGTGCTTTGAATTTCTGTGCTTATGTGTGGATTGCCAAGGCATATGTGTACAAAAACGTTGTTGAGGATGAAGCAAAGGAGGACAAAGAATTGACGAATTTCTATGATCTGCCAACTGGGGAGATGAAATCACAGGACCATGTATAATGTACTTACGACCTGGCTATATATCTAGCAGTTATAAAAGTTTTAATATTGGAATATATGAAAGTTTTTTATATGCTGCTTAAATGCACCCATTACTTTTCTAAGTTACTCAACCCATCTGGCGGCACGAGGCCTGATATCATGAGCAGAACGAGCACCCGACTTACCTGGATGGTAACCCGGGTGATTTTTTGAAAAATAAAATTAACTATTTTAATACATATACATCTATTAATTATATAAAAGAACTCTCAATTTAAAAAAAAAAAATATGGACTTTTTAACTTTGCCACTTTTGGTTAGAGATAAATAATTATCAAAATCTCAGTTTGTAAAAATAAAAAGATATACGTAATTTTTCCATGAATAATACTACACATATGTCATTCTTATATAACATTTCTCATACAATATTATGTGGCAAGATATGATTGAGTAAAAATTTAATTTTAACTTTAAATTAACCAATCATATTTTACTATATAATATTGTATGAAAATAATGTATGTACATCATTATTCTTTTTCCATTACGATAAATGATTATCAAGGCAGTAAACTGATGAAATAGTGTGAGGCCTAATCTGGCCTGGTACCATAATTCCTCCAACCACAGTGGCTAGAGGCGGTCAACCAATGCTTTGGTTGCCTCTTACAAACAATATAAATATCCTTTTCTCTTGAGAGTTTGACGGTTGCGCCAAAATATTCTGATCAATACCATTATGGATGGGGTCATCGGACCTACTCCGATGACGATGAGTTGAATGAGGCTGGTGTTTATTTGACGGGAATTGTAATGTATAAATATTAGTTTGTTTCATTAATATCTTTGATTTGATATGAAAGCTAATTACTGAATGTCAATGAGCCATTCATAATCATGATTCAATTTGCTCTTTTTTATTTATTTATTTTGAAAGTATTGTTATAATAAGAATTAATTTATTGAAAAATGAGATGCAATCTAGCTAGAGATAAAAGATTTAAGAATTAGGGGAACAATAATTATTATTATATATATTTATAAACAATATTTTCAGTACGAAATTTAGAATATGGTTTTTAATACAACTTATAATGAGATAAGTAACACGTTGAAAATTTAATTATTGGACTATAGACACATTAGTCAATACAAGGAATATTGGTTGGAATATAATCCTTCAAATTCATTGACTAGAATTATGTCAACCATTGTAAGGAGACTTGGATATGACTTTTGGTTAAACTTACATTTTAATCCTAAATTTATTGAGTTTAATTTTGGAGTCAAATGATTAAAAATAAATTAATAACTAAATTTAATAAATTAAAGCATACTTGCTCTGATTTTATTGAATGGAACATTCCCTAATAATTTTGTTTGTTTCATCAAAGACTTAAATTTAGTTTCCAATAATTGTGGGCCACATTCGGTTAGGGGTGAGCGGGGTACCCTACATTTTTCGAGGGAACCAGAGTAGCACAGTACAAGTTCCCAAAAAAAGGAACCGGAATTGGAACTGCACAGTGTAAGTTCTTAATTCAAGGAACTGGAACCTAAAATGCAGATTCCGGTTCCTTTCCCGGGTACCTTGTAAAAAATTATTACCCCCTATAGTTTAAAAAATAACAAAATACCTTAAAAGTTTATAAATACACCCTAACAAATTTTGATTACTTATTCATTTGTGTCCAATGTAACTTATAATCCTTTAATCTCTAGCAACACTTGAATTCATCAATTCATCACAATTCACATAAAATCCCTCAATCAAAACCAAAACACAAACAATTAATTAAACAATCATACTAAAAATCTATAATTAATTATAATAATCAAATTCTATCATTTAATTAAGTATTGTAATAATGTTATAATGAAATATATAATTAATTAAGTAATCATACTTAAATCTATAATATAATGGTATAATAATTAATTTTTAATCTTTCAATTAAGTAATGTACATGTAGTAAATTACTAATGTTTATAATGTAATGTTATAAATTATAATCAATCAAGTAATCATTTAACTATGTTATGTTATAATTAATTAGTGATTTTAAATAATTTAATGTTATAATTAATTAAGTAATTATTTAATTATAATGTAATGTTTTAATTAATTAAATTTCTGATAATTTAATTAAGTATTATACTAATGTTTATAATATAATGTTATATTAATTAAGTATCATTTGTTTATAACGTAATGTTATAATTAATTAATTAATTATACTGTAAATTTAAAGTAATGCTATAATTAATAGATTTCTATTAATTTAATTAAGTATTGTGCTAATATGGGAAATTACTAATGTTTTATATATAATGTCAAATTAATAAGTAATCATTTGTTTATAATGTAATGTTATAATTAATTAAATTTCTAATCATTTAATTAAGTATTGTATTAAGCATAAATTATTAATGTATAATATAATGTATAATTAATTAAGTAATTATTTAATTATGTGATCATACAATAATTTAATGTTATAATGAATTGAGTAACATACTATAAATCTTAATGTAATATTATAATTAATTAAATTTTTAATCATTTAATTAAGTATTGTACTAATGTTATAATAAAATGTTAATTAATTAAGTAATCATTTGTTTATAATATAAGTGATAATTATAAAATTATACTATAAATCTATAATGTAATGTTATAATTAATTAAAATTTTAATTATTAATTAAGTATGTATTAATTACTATGTAATGTTGTAACTTATAATTAATAAATAATCATTTAACTATAATAATGATATACTTAGAACTTGATAATTGAAGTAAATAACTAAATATTATATTATTATTCAATCAAATATACTATTTTATTCAAAAATAATCTTTTAATAACATTAAAACAATTTTAATTGGTCATAATTCCAATTATACACTTAATTATCAAAACTTTAATATTAATATATTATAATATATTAAAGTTTTTTATATGGTGTAATTTATATGTAATAGTATAATTGTATTTTATTAATTAGGTATTGTAAAACTTTAACTTCTTTTTTAATTTTTTTATTATAAAATTACAATAACCCCCCATTCTTCACAGATATTTAATGCAGCTCAGGTTCCAAAATAGGGTACCCGCTGCAGGTTCCAAAACAGGGTACCCGCTACAGGTTCCAAGTCGGGTACCCACTGCAAGTTCTTTTTTCCAGGTTCTAGTTTCGATTCCGGTTCCTCCACATGTAGGAACTGGAATCGAAACCGCACAGTATCGGTTCTAAAAAAATGGAACTGGAACCTACTCGCATAGTGTCGGTTCGGTTCTATAAGCTACCTGTGCTCACCCCTAATTTGGTCTTGTGAGACTTACATTTTAAACCGACGGCCAGTATGAATAAATAATTAAAGAGAAGAGATACCTTTGGTAGTTTGGATACCTTATAAATTTATAATAACTGAAATGTTTAACTTTAATTTAATGGGATTATACAGTTTCAAACAAAAAATTAATGGGATCATTTATTAAAAATATTTTAATTACAAAAGTTAGAATATGATTTTTTTTTTTTAATAGAATTAAAAATGAGATAACAAGATTTTCCTTGAATTGTTTTTTACAATGTAATTATATTATATCATTTTTTTTAATGTAATTCTTTAAGGGTAAGAATACTAAATTTTTGTTCATGACATAATTAAATTTATAATATGAACTATCACCCTTGTAAACCCACAAAGTAGACGTTTAAATCCATATCCTTAAATAATTACAAGTTTGATTTTCTACAACATTAATCTTAATTATAATATGGGTAAATCATATTTTCATATCCATCTATAGCATAAAAAAGTCATTCTTTATTTCAGAAATTAACAATATCATTCCTTCCTTTATAAATTTTAATGTAAGTAATATTTGAATTCACAAAATTTTATCGTCCCTAATTTTTAGTTCACATATAAGGGCAAAATTAAGTTTAAACTTATTAACAATCTCATCGCTTATTTCCAGGATTCTTAATCACATAATATTCAAACGTTGTTAGTTTCTAAGATTTTCATATATCTTAATTAGACGCTAACGATATAATTCGAAAGAATTGCCTTCTCCAACGTCAATTGGAAATAATACATTCCCATTGACGTTTTCTCAGGACAATGATTCCCAACGCAAGCCGTGCATAGACCACTCGCACCAGCGCTGCAGACCAAAGGTGAACATAATATTTATTCCATCGACTACCAAAACAACAATTTAGTCTTGAACATGTAAAGTTTTAAACCACGTTTATTCACACATTAAACCTAACAAATTAAATCTGAGTTTGTCAGACTTCTAATAAATATCAATCCGAATACTTGTATAGCTTTCAAGAATAATAGTAGAAGTCAATTTAAACAAGAGCTTGAAAGCACATCCCCTACAATGAAGTGGGTGTGAAAACCATCAACTTAGCCTTGAACCTAAGAGTGCTTTGCATTTTCCAATACCTTGCTGTCTTTTATACAATTTTCTGACGAAATGAACTTCATGTTTTTCTATTCAATGTGACACAAATATGCTCCATCTTTCTACCTTTCTAAGCTTAGCAATGTTGTTGTCGTTGCAGGCATATAAATTCTCGTGAAGGTAGAAGCATTGAGATTGTGACCTTAAATTACCAGAATCACAGGCTAAAATGCTTTGTGCACACAATGTGATCCACAATTACGTCCAGAAACGAGACGTTTCGCGGTCATGCTATCAAAGAAACCTGGCAATCTATACGAAACAGCAAGGCCTGGTTTTAGATACAGATGGAGCTCGCTGGCCAAAAGCATTGTTGTGGTCCACTGCTGGAACACCTGCTGGGAATCTCCTTTGAGTTTTCCTTCATGAGATGAGGCTTAAGCTTGCTTACATCTGATAATTGAACTGGTTTCAGAAAGAATTCTTCAGCTCCTTCCTCCAAACATCTGTTAATTCTTGAAGGAATATTTTCTGATGACATTATCACAACTGGAATGTCTTTTAAAGAAGGAGATTCCTTGATTTTTCTGAGGAGATCATAGCCTGTCATTCCAGGCATGGAGTAATCTGTGATAATCAAATGGACTTTTATATCTGAATTTCTCTGATCTTCTTCGTTCAACAATCCCAAGAATTCCAAGGCTTTACACGCAGAGTCCACAGAGGTAACTGTTGAAAACAAAAACATACAAAAAGTTTGATTAATTTCTGACACTAAACTCCATGGAAAATCAAGAAAATGAAAAAGAAATTAAAGGACCAAATTGTTACCTTGATAAGAAGAAGTTTTAAGGAGTTTTTCAATCAACTTTCTGTCAATAAGGCTGTCATCAACAGCAAGAACATGAAACTGAGGTTGAGCTTCAACAGCAGCCATACCTATGATTGAAAATCAGATAGTATTGAATATATTTCTTGTATAAAATGAAGGAAGAAGAGACAGAAGATTTCGAGAGATGATGATGAAAATGAAGATAAGGGTAAGTGAGTTTTAAATGGGAAGCCATTGAGAGACAAATCTTGAAGATATCTGTACAGTTCGGAAAGCAAGATCCTGCAGATTTCATCAAGAATCTTGAGGATCTTCTAACTTGATTTTTTAGTTAGACAAGAGCCAAAGAAGTTGCCATGTCTGTTTCCAATTAATATATTATTAGACTTTTTCCTTTCTTAATTATTATTCCATTTGACCCTTTAAAGGCCGCTTCATTCAACTCAGAGGCTATTGGCTATTCCCATCAACTTGTGTCACCAAATTTCCAACTCCATCACTGTATATAACAGTTGGCCAACAAAATATTGTAAGGGACAACTTGTGGTGGATTGTAGTTTCAAACTTGGGATTTTGGGTTATTACTTTTAGGGTTTTTAATTATTTTAATCTAAAATATAAACCAAATCCGTCATCGTCTTACCAATTACCATAAGTAGGGGTGGAATTGAAAAAAAAAAATTCTTCGCTAAGACAAATAAAATTTCGATATGTACATACATAAAATGATAGTAATCGTTTTGGTACAACATTAATAAAGAAAAAAGATAAAAAGAAATTGCTTGCAATTTAAAATTAAAGTAGATTAGGAAAAAAAAAGTGAAAGTAATATTAATATTATCAATTTATGTTTAATCTTAGTAATAATATTTGGTTTTAAAGACCTCTTGTCTCAATCTTAAGATATTTATTTTCTAGTAACATGTAAAATTTATAAAGTAGAATATTCGTGAAATAAAATTTGAAAATAATGTTTATGTTATTGATTTTATGTTTAATGTTATTAATCTTATGCTCGTTGTTTTACTCAACAATGGTTTGTTATTTGTAATGTTTTCTCATCTACTATACTATAAATATTTTATTGGATGTTCTCAGTTTATTTGCATGTATCCTAGACAAGATTATAAGAAAATACCAAAAAAAAAAAAAAAAAAATTATTAAATTATTATTAGACCTTGTTCTCAATATTCCATTTTAATTGACCTTTTGATAAGTGGTCGAGGCAACTACTAAACGGGGGCATTGCCCTTTTGATTCAACTTAAGGGTACCTTAATCACATGCTTCGGAAAGACACCAAATTTTTATGGGATTGCAGAGCGAATATACAATTATTAGAAAATAATTGCCAATTTTTAAGGAATTGAAAATGCAATATATATGTGGATTCAGATTTGAAGTAATTGCTAAAAAGAGCTATTTTTTTTTTTTTTTTTTTTTTTAAGTCAAATTAAGAAACAACCTCTTTGAAATTGACTCTGTAGGCAAAACATTTTATAAATGAGTGCCAATTGACGTTTTCTCAGGACAATGATTCCCAACGCAAGCCAGCGCTGCAGACCAAAGGTGAACATAATATTTATTCCAACAATTTAGTTTTGAACATGTAAAGTTTTAAACCTAACAAATTAAATCTGCGTTTGTGAGACTTCCAATAAATATCAATCCGAATACCTGTATAGCTTTCAAGAATAATAAGAGAAGTCAATTTAAACAAGAGCTTGAAAGCACATCCCCAAGTTTGAGGAGATCCATTTCATTAATTATCCCACCTTGGAGTAAAAATAATATTAATCTGAATATGCAAATCAATTAGGTTGTTGGACTTGAAATTGTAGCTTAACCCACAAAGAAGAAATCTCCAGGAGAGATATGGTGAAGTCAGGTGCCACCTTTCTCTAGTAGGAAATCATGTGCTCTTTATTCTCCTCTCAATTAAACATGTTCTCATTGTTTATTCAATGAAATATGTTGTTTATCTTAGAGTTAATCTGGACCATTTATAAAAACTGGATTATGATTTAATTAATTGTTGAATTATTGTCAAAGGATCAATATAAGTGCAGCTGTACGTGAAGGTAGCATTACCCCGATACAATAGGTGAGTCCTTCATTGTTGTAAGAGCTAGATTTGGATTTCTGTCATTAATTTATGTGGATTGATCTCAGATACTACAAATTATCAGGTTGCAGAAATTAAAGTAGAGAGAATACTACAAACGACTAAGAGGATTGGATTTCTGTCATTCTGACATTGTATAGGATTTCTGCAACCTGATAATTTGTAGTATCTGAGATTAATCCACATAAATTAATGACAGAAATCTATGTTGTTATATAGAAGAGATTTTGGAGATCACATGTGGAACTTCCTCATATGTACTATTACAAAATTTTAGTCACAATGAAGTGGGTGTGAAAACCATCAACTTAGCCTTGAACCTATGAGTGCTTTGCATTTTCCAATACCTCGCTGTCTTTTATACAATTTTCTGACGAAATGAACTTCATGTTTTTCTATTCAATGTGACACAAATATGCTCCATCTTTCTACCTTTCTAAGCTTAGCAATGTTGTTGTCGTTGCAGGCATATAAATTCTCGTGAAGGCAGAAGCATTGAGATTGTGACCTTAAATTACCAGAATCACAGGTTAAAATGCTTTGTGCACACAATGTGATCCACAATTACGTCCAGAAACGAGACGTTTCGCGGTCATGCTATCAAAGAAACCTGGCAATCTATACGAAACAGCAAGGCCTGGTTTTAGATACAGATGGAGCTCGTGGCCAAAAGCATTGTTGTGGTCCACTGCTGGAACACCTGCTGGGAATCTCCTTTGAGTTTTCCTTCATGAGATGAGGCTTAAGCTTGCTTACATCTGATAATTGAACTGGTTTCAGAAAGAATTCTTCAGCTCCTTCCTCCAAACATCTGTTAATTGTTGAAGGAATATTTTCTGATGACATTATCACAACTGGAATGTCTTTTAAAGAAGGAGATTCCTTGATTTTTCTGAGGAGATCATAGCCTGTCATTCCAGGCATGGAGTAATCTGTGATAATCAAATGGACTTTTATATCTGAATTTCTCTGATCTTCTTCGTTCAACAATCCCAAGAANGCTGGCAAGTCGTCGGTTAATCGCGGTATCAAGTTGAATGAGATGGAGAAGTTGAAAGAGGGTAATGGCCTGGAGGCAAACCCTTCTATGGGTGCTGCTGATAATGGAAATGGTGGCTCGGAGCCGAGATTTGAAAAAAGGAAAATGGAGGAATACCATGTGGGCCTGTCATTGAATAAGGGAGTTACCATAGGGATGAATAATGGGGCATCCTGCGGGCAGCAGCAAATTGATTCTGATGAGAATTTGTGGGATGTTGAAGTGAATGGATACGATGATGTTCTCAGTTGCCGGAATCTAACCCAAAGGGAATAGCAAAGCCTGTGTAATCATAACTCATCTGCATTTACCAAAAGTCGAGATTGTGATCGCTCAAGAAGTCCTCCTCTACAAAGTGGAGAGGTTGCGAAGGGAGTGAGTTTTACAAGAAGAAGGACAGGCGGGCGAGTTCATGGTTCAAAGGAGCCCTAAAGTTCAGAGGAGGGAACCCTCAGATTCAGGTACTGGATTGGGCCCTGGAATGGATTCGAAAGTAGCCCAAGTCTGCTGCATTGAGGTGGGCCATAATTAGGTGAATGGAGAGAATTCACACCTGGGCCCAACTACTTTCTCATTGGGTCAAGTGGAGCATAATGAACCCCAGGATGGGTTGGTCTCTAAAAGGGATACAGTCCTGGGCATTCAACAGGGACCGATTTTTCCTAGGAAAAACTCAGAAGACCTAAAAAATAGCAGTCACTCCTTAGGCCCCGCTAGGCTCAATGGGCGTCCAATTGTTAATCAGGAGCCCGTTGAAGAAAACCCAAAGGAGCAGAGATGTTCTTGGGCAAATGTCACGGCTGAAAGTCAACAGAGGCAGAAAATTCCACTGAAATTTTATGCACCTAGCTTTGATGTTAATGGGATTGTGGTTGTGAGTCCACCTACATGTCTAGTTGGATCCTTCATAGAAAAGAAGCTGCCATTCCCTTTGGTGTAGAACCTAGTGATGAAGATGTGGCATTGATATGGCCTCGTAGAGGTTATGACGAATGAAAAGGGTTTCTTCTTTTTTAAATTTGGGGATGAAGCCCTCATGATGCGGTGTTTAGAGGACGGTCCTTGGATGTTCCAGAATCGCCCAATCCTTCTTCAGAGATGGCACTTGGAGATGCAACTCAACAAGGAATCTCCTCGCTTCATCCCTCTCTGGGTAAAGTTTTATGATGTGCCCATGGAATACTGGAGTCAAGACGGAATGAGTTTCATAGCAAGTGGAGTAGGAAAGCCTATGGAATGGATCGAATTACCAAGGACACTTGCATTTACGGGAAAGGACGCATTATTTTTGCTCGGATTTTGATTGAGGTTGATGCTGCAAAAAAACTCCCAGAGTGTATTAAGTGAAATTGCCGACTGAAGAGATGAATGTTGCCAATTTTTTGGAAGTTAGAATAGATTACCAGTGGTGTCCTTCGCAATGTGAAGCCTGTTGTGTATTTGGTCATTCTAATGCTTCTTGCCCGAGAAGATCGAAGACGGACCCTCCGACTAACCAGATGGAAACTACCAATACCGAACCCATTGATGACGAAGGATTTCAATTGGTGGTGCGAAAGGGTAAACGAAAACTCCAACGAGGGCGACAAGAAGGGATTCCTATCACATCTTGACCTCCTTCGCTCCCAGGTAAAAAACATAGTATAGGTGTCCAATCGAAGGAAGGAAATCAAGTTGTATAGATGGAAAACTAGTTTCATATGCTAGAATTTTAATTATATTAGAATTCTTTAATTGGATTGGTCCTACACTTTTAATATAAACTGAATGGGTAACTGCTAAGCAGTTACATGCGGTTGTGTCTCTTGGGCACTTGTCTCTTATGAAAAGACAACTGCATTTATAAAAGAGATTTTATAGGTCCCCATTTGATGCAATTAATTCGTTTTGATTCCCAAAACCATCGCTCTAGAAAATTGCAATCAGTGGAAGACTCTGTATACTGAAGTGACAGAAGCAAGAAGAATAAAACAACAATTGCTATGGCTAGAGGTTTGCAAATTACTTCCGCAATATTCCATGAGTATTTAACATGATTATAATTGATTATATTATGAACTTTTATATGAAAATTGAAATATACATGTTTTTACATTTGGTATCAGAACCATTTATTTGAATCTCTACCTATCATGAAATTGATTATTGCAAATTTGGAGAATACTGCATAAAATTGGGATTTTTCCAATTAAAACCCGTACTGTAAATCAAGCATAACTTTTATTATAAATAGAATCTGTTTTCAATTTTGGTGTCATTGGAATCCTTGTTGAAAAAGCTTTCCAACGATATATTATTTGTCAAAAATGGAGTTATGGTTACAAAGTTATGCTAGTTNGACTCGACTAATGCGGAGTCGAGTTTAAGCCAACATCAAGTATAGTTTAAGTGGCTCGACTTGATTTTCACCCTTAAATAGATTACATGCTTCACCCATTTGTTCAGGATTTAAACCATTATGTGCAAACCCAACAGCTCTTATTCATTTCATTTTCACTCCCAATAAAATTTTTAAAAACTAATAAATCCTCTTGTATAAAAATAAAAATCACAAAGAATATGTAATAAATATATTAGAATTAAAAAAAGGGTTTTACAAAAACAAAATCCAAACTTACCATGGGGGCCGGCTATTCCGTTCTCAAAATCTCAAAGATTTATAAGGATAAAATTTAAATAAATAGAAATAGAAATAGAAAATCTGAAATTTTTAAAAAATTGAGTGGGGGCCGTGGTCCCCACTCGTCATTCATTAAATCCGCCCCTGTGCCCAATCCTTCTTCAGAGATGGCACTTGGAGATGCAACTCAACAAGGAATCTCCTCACTTCATCCCTCTCTGGGTAAAGTTTTATGATGTGCCCATGGAATACTAGAGTCAAGACGGAATGAGTTTCATAGCAAGTGGAGTAGGAAAGCCTATGGAATGGATCGAATTACCAAGGACACTTGCATTTACGGGAAAGGACGCATTAGTTTTGCTCGGATTTTGATTGAGGTTGATGCTGCAAAAAAACTCCCAGAGTGTATTAAGTGAAATTGCCGACTGAAGAGATGAATGTTGCCAATTTTTTGGAAATTAGAATAGATTACCAGTGGTGTCCTTCGCAATGTGAAACCTGTTGTGTATTTGGTCATTCTAATGCTTCTTGCCCGAGAAGATCGAAGACGGACCCTCTGACTAACCAGATGGAAACTACCAATACCGAACCCATTGATGACGAAGGATTTCAATTGGTGGTGCGAAAGGGTAAACGAAAACTCCAACGAGGGCGACAAGAAGGGATTCCTATCACATCTTGACCTCCTTCGCTCCCAGGTAAAAAACATAGTATAGGTGTCCAATCGAAGGAAGGAAATCAAGTTGTATAGATGGAAAACTAGTTTCATATGCTAGAATTTTAATTATATTAGAATTCTTTAATTGGATTGGTCCTACACTTTTAATATAAACTGAATGGGTAACTGCTAAGCAGTTACATGCGGTTGTGTCTCTTGGGCACTTGTCTCTTATGAAAAGACAACTGCATTTATAAAAGAGATTTTATAGGTCCCCATTTGATGCAATTAATTCGTTTTGATTCCCAAAACCATCGCTCTAGAAAATTGCAATCAGTGGAAGACTCTGTATACTGAAGTGACAGAAGCAAGAAGAATAAAACAACAATTGCTATGGCTAGAGGTTTGCAAATTACTTCCGCAATATTCCATGAGTATTTAACATGATTATAATTGATTATATTATGAACTTTTATATGAAAATTGAAATATACATGTTTTTACATTTGGTATCAGAACCATTTATTTGAATCTCTACCTATCATGAAATTGATTATTGCAAATTTGGAGAATACTGCATAAAATTGGGATTTTTCCAATTAAAACCCGTACTGTAAATCAAGCATAACTTTTATTATAAATAGAATCTGTTTTCAATTTTGGTGTCATTGGAATCCTTGTTGAAAAAGCTTTCCAACGATATATTATTTGTCAAAAATGGAGTTATGGTTACAAAGTTATGCTAGTTTAAAGTTTCGGTTAAAAATTATCGTTTGGGTGTTTTCGATAGCCATGTATGGCACCGATTTGGGATGAAAATGTCATTTGGGATGTCATCGACATAGGTCATACGTCCACATTCAAGTTTCCCCTCTAAAATGCCAGAAAAATGGCCCGAATCGGGCTATTAAAATCTGCATAAAATGGGTCAAAAGTTGTAGAAAATGGGTTAAGAAGAACCGGCCAAATCGGGTCAAATCGACCTGGTCAAGGATAAAACGGGTCAAACTGACCCAGTCAAAGGTCAAAACGGGTCAAGCCAACTAGATAAAACCAGCCCAGAAACCCGATGGGTCAACCCGACCGGGCAGCATGGTCTACGACTCAAACTGGGTCAAGGAATCGGTCAACGAGTCAGTTGGGTCAACAAACCAGTCAACGAGTCAAACCGGATCAAATGGGTCAATCTGGGTCAACGAACCGGGTAAAAAGCTCAACCTGACCTAGTCAAACTGACCTGTGTTGACTTATGGCGCGTGTGAGCACGTGAAGGTGCTTGTGCTTGTGTCAGGCGCATGGAGGCGGTGTGTTCTGGTGCGTGCAAAAGCATGTTGCCTTTTGAAGGCACGTGCAGAAGCATGTTGCCTTCTGGAGGCGCATGGGGATACGTGGCTGTGCTTAGTTTAGTCACAGTGGAGCGTGGGAGTCGGTGATAGCGCGTATGATGGTTTTTATGTCATGTATTACTTTGTTATAGGGGTGGAAAAAAAAACCTGAAAACCGAACCGGACTAGAAAACCGGACCAAAAATCTGGTTTTTTTCGGTTTTGGTTCGATTATTTAAAAAACTGAATATCCAATTCAGTTTCGATTTTTGGTAAAATTAA